AGAGCCAAATGGAAGAAATAATGTGCCTGGCTGCTGGGGGAAGGGATGTTTTTTTGCACCTCGGGGTTTGTGGCGGAGACGGAGCCAACCCAGCCGGACTAACAACAGGGGGCTATTGATCCCATGTTGTGACTGCAAGTATATTGTACATTCGCAGGGCTGCTACCCCAAAACAGAGCTTGTTGTTGAGGCCTTACTCGCATATACAATGGACCTGCGCGGCCTAGCCTAGGCAACACACAATTTTCAGGTTCTTCACCCTCCATTTCGAGCCCATGCTCAGCTAAATGTCTTTCTTCGTCATAATGAAGATTTCGAGTGGAAGACAAGAGAACCCTTGCCTACACGCTTGTCTAGCATACATGGTGGGTGAATCAGCATTCCTTAATCAAGGATTCTCCCAGGTATTGTTCCCTTCTTGTTGGCGAGGTGATGGATGTGCAATTTGCCTGAGAGTATGGAACCTGCCACTGGCCCAAGGATCCAGGTGAAACCGGGCAGCGCACGCCGTTCTGGCTCCGCTCTGCTCTATTTGAAAGGGGCCGGCCGCTGAGGATGACATAGAGAGTTCGTGGAAGGTGCTGCAAGACTGCTCTGACCCAGTTAGGTACCAGAACCAGCATGTTAGCATGTTGCGATGAAGGTGTGAATATAAGATATAGTATACATATGTATAATATATATATATATATATGAGCGTGCTTTTCCATGGGCCTCAGATGCATAGAAGGTCGACTGCGCGAAAGGGACAGCTGTTTGTTTGCGTAGCTCGAATCTAAGGTCGAGGAGGTTGCCAAAGTTGCCAAGTTCTTCCACGGCCGCCAGTTTCCTGGCGCACGCTCGCCTGTGGCCGTGAGCTTTGCTGACTTGCGACCGCCTGGCTACAAGGCAGGGGCCTTCTGGCTGAGTGTGGTCTTGTTCGAGGGCCCCCCCAAAAATGGCAACGGTTTCCCTCAGTTTCCTTTGCCAACAAGTTGTAAAGGATTTGGTTTCGAGCAAGTCCCTTGCCCACATGATGTCTGTCTCCATAGCCGCGCCAGGTCCCTGCCACGTCTTTAGGAGATCCTCAGCGCGTGAACTGCCGCCTTGCAGCACGCGGTGCAAACACCCGTTTGCAAAGCGACTTGCTACGCGACTGAGGCTTCAGGTCAAAGCCTCAGCTCGGATGTGAGAATTTTCTGAAATTGTTTGAAATTGTTTGGTTGAAATTCGTGGAACATTTGTTTGATTGGACGTTGACTGCCAGTTCTGAAGTGGCGTTGCCGCCGGGGCTGTTTGACTGACCGGCCAGCGACCCAGTGCGTGAGGGCGACGTGAGGCATGCTCAAGCTACAGAATCCAGGGCAGCGTTTTTGTAAGCACTGTGAGTGCTGTAGCTGCCACACCATGTGTCCGCACGGCGTGTGCCCCCCGTGTGCCGTACCCACCAGATGTCACTCAGACTTCTCATAGTTGAATGCTCTATGAATGAGGAATCTAGCTCGCAAAAGCCATCTTGTGCAAGGAATCGATTTGTGCAAGGACGCAGGTGAAGCAGAGGGTAGCAGATGATGCTTGCAACAACGCATTGCCACATATTCGGTGGATGGCACTGGTTCAATGGTATCCCGCGAGTCGAACATCCTAAACATGTGGGACGGCTTGAAGCGCCAGACTTGATGTAACACTGCAACAAGATGTGGTTTGTCTTTTAAGGAACTTGCGCAGTGTTTTTTGCTGTGTTTGTCTGATCTCGCTTTCTTTTGCTTCAAGGCTAAGACACGACTTCGTGAACCTCACGCTCGCTTTGGTGCGGGTGTGTGGCAAAGAATGGAGTTGCTGCATGCATAATTTGTCCAGTTTCAAAAGCGTGTGAAACCGCTGAGACATGTGCAGTTCTGCTCCCAAGCAATGGTGGACACAGACTCTTCGCCATCAAGCCTTCCCTAATATGAAAAGGCATGCGAGAGCCGCAAGATTGGGCTTGAACCTTCAGACAAGAATAGAAATTGCCCGTGGCGCCAGAGTCTTTGCCAGTTTTCATGTGTTTGCCTCGATGTCACTTGACTGCTTGCGCTGTGTGAAATGCTATGAGGGCTTGGCACCCCAGAGCAGAACTCACAGGCGAGCCACCAGTTTCCCATTGGTTTATGGGGCCCTTCGGTCACGTTGCAAGTTATGAAATCATTTGATTTCAGCTTTCAGCCCATCGGCCTCAGGGACCAAGCTCGCCCTGTCTCTGACTGTTCCCGTGTAACCTCTCCATGTTCCCATTCGCACCAATTTGCACATTTGCAGTGACGCTGCAGGATTCCAATGCCAAGTCATGTCAATCCCAACCGACACCCTGCCCTCAATTCAAAGCTTGGAGCCGGCAGCGCGCAATTTCAGCTCCAAATCGCAATGTACAGTGCGGCTCAAAGTACACCAACTTGAGAAAGCCCCCGGATTCTCAGGGGCCTGAGGTGGCAAGCCCTCGAAAGCTTCGAGCCGTCTCCGCCTTGCGGCTTAATGAACACTGCAGATGCTGACCGATAGGCAACGCATTTGCCTTTCCTGAAATTCAGGGCACGCTCTGCAAGGATTCCTGGCCAATTTGTGTCTCTCGAACTCACACTAGGTCGCTTGTTGCCTTCCTGTCTGCCCCACCCCTTCCTGGATTAGCAGATTCACACTGAAACGTTCACCTGAGCCACAATCAAAACCCGGGTAGATGAAGGTTAGTAAGGGACGATCCTAGCCAGAAGCGGCAGCGGCCGCCTTTGTATTTCCTTACATGGTTCTGGGACCGGGTTTTAATTATAACTCACCTCTTCATTCTTTCAAAAGGAGAAGTTCTCGAGCTTGGATCGTGGAATATGACAGGTTTAGATACCTTTGAGGGGTTCGTTTCGTTTTGTTTGTCTTGCAGAGCTTGGTCTCGAACTTCAAGAATCGTGCTTCGATCCAGGGTTGGGTCAGATTTCCCAGATTCCCAACGAAATTTGTATCCAAAAGGTTCCCACTTTGGAATGAAGTCTGACCTTGTGCAAAGCACTGCACCGAGTCAAACTTACCTCTTGCAGAGCTCGGGAAGCACCCGCACCGAAAGGGTCGTATCCAAATCGTATCCAAGCTGCAAATGTGGCGTGTTCCATTTGGACAAGTTGCCCAGGCCGAGCTGGAAACGGGCCTCGATGGGAGACTCCCTCCGCTTGCCTCGAAGTTCCGCCGAGGGATTTTTATTTTGAGGCATCGTTTTGCGGGTTCAAGCGAGGCGGCCAGTAGTGGCGATATTTTGTTTGCCACACTGGACGCATGTGAGCAGTGCATGTGCCCAAAGGGCCCCGCTTGTCGCCACAGTGGGCACGGACAATGAGCGAAACACAATCTTTGCCCGAGAGCCTGTTGACATGACCATGCCAGGAAACAGAACGGCCAACAGCAAATATGCGGCGATTTAATCGTGACAGAGAGTCATGTTTGATAGATCTACCGGAGTGATAGCGCAACACGATGTAGGATCAAATCAAAGGGAGATCAACGAAGCACTTCTTGTCATTGATTGCCACATCAGCATGGTTCCTTCAGCAAGCAGCGAAAACAGCAGCAACAACAAGCATTTGGGGGGGCAGCGGTGGCAGCGGCAGCAGCAGCAGCGGCAGCAGCAGCGGCAGCAGCAGCAGCAGCAGCAGCAGCAGAAGCAGCAGAAGCAGCAGAAGCAGCAGAAGCAGCAGCCGCCGACATTCCTGGCATTCGAGTCCGACATATTGACACATATTGCAATACGTGTAGTGTATATATATATATATAGACCGCTCTTTGATTGGATGTTTTCGTTATGTTGTTGGCAGCCCAGTACTGTGCATCAGTCCGCGGGTGCGATCACTGCAATTCCAGAGCGGAACTCGTGCACATCAGGTGTCATAAGCTTGAGCCACAGATTTGTTTGATATGTCTTACGAAACACGCGTGACACGTCTAGCTGAACCTGTCCCCCTGAAATCGATTGAGCAATGGACACCAATGCAGAGTCTGCGGAGAGCTCGTGCGACTCGAGTGCCCCGTCGGACAATGGGGAGGAGGAACCTGACTCCGACGCAACCACTCTAGCTGACATGCCCGAGGAGGCAGGCAATCAGCCCGGCGACATGGAGTTCATCTCCAAGTGCGTGAAGTACATGGATATGCTTGACGCGGCCCTGAGGGTGGCCTCTGTAGATTTGCAAAGTTGCTTTGGGACTGCCCCCATGTTAGTGGATGGTGATGCCCTCTTCAGAGAGGTCGGCTGGGACCCCTACACTGACTGGAGTTGTGGGGGGCAGCTGCTCCATTGCGTGTACTTGGCCGAGAAGATCTTTGCGGGACTGGTGGAGAGAGGTGTCCAGCTGCACCTCTTCTTCTTCGCTGCGGAGCTGAACTTCCTGGCGCCTCGCCAGCGCCTCTTGTGGCTGCTGCTCTGCGAGCACTTCCGCCGTGCAGAGGGCCAGGTGAATGGGATTCGGCACCACCTCTTTGAAGGGTCCTGGCTGGACAATGGTGGCGCTCTGCTGAGTCTGGCAAGGGCAACCAACCCATCCTGCGTTCTCACGGACTTTGCAAGGGCCGCGCCGCCACTGGGCGCAGATGATGTTACCCTCTCGGACCTGTCGCAAGTGAGGTCCTGCGGCTTCGTCCATTGGCTCCACTGCAAGGAGCTGCGGGCAGTGGATCTCGAAGGCCTCAAGACGGACGGGCCTCGGATCCGCGCGTCCACCCTAGAGCTTCGCGTGCCTTTCTCTGTGCCCCTGCGCCTCCTGTCCATCCGTTGCGCGAATTCGACTCCGCCCGAAGCTTCGCTTTGCCTAGAGCCCGACGCCTCACTGCGAGTATCCGTCGGGCTCCATGCTCTGGGGTGCTTGTCACCCGGTCAGGCAAGCAACGAGGACCCGACGCGCGGCTTGTGCGCGGTCTTCTGCGCATGCCTGGCGCTGATGGAGGTTTTGCCTCTTGAGATGCGCAGTGTGAGCAGATTGCAGCCACTGCCAGACAGCCTGGGTTTCTTGAACTTTGTGAGCAGGCTGCAGGAGGGCATGCAGCAAGCACTGGTGTGTCTAGGAAAGGCAGGTCCCGCCTGGGACAGAACGGCAGGTCCCGCCTGGGACAGCACGCTGGCCGACATTTTTGATGGCCGGCTGCTGTGGGCTTTGACCAGCAAATGCGTACGGGGGACAATCGTTTCTGGAGACGGCGACCTTACCTTATCGTCACACTCGTTGGAATTTACGGAGGGCCTTTGGCACAAGCTGCATGCAGGCAACCTCAACGACGCCTTCCAAAGCTTGGAACACAGCGAGACTTTGCCCGACAAATCACCGGCCAAGGCTACCGAGACCGACTCTGAGCCGCAGGTCGCGGATTTGCTACCGGTTCCGTGGGTATCGCAGGCTTTGGGGCATGGCGCAACCTTTGCGTGCGGCTCCAACCCGCAGCGGCCGTTTGCGCCCCATCATTACCACAGCTGTGCGCCATTGGATGCCGCTGAGCCAGATGCCTTTGCCACAGAGTCCTCTGCGCCTGTGCGGAATCTTAGGGTCGAAAACGAAGGGCGGCTGCAGGACATCCTGCAAACCTTGCAGCCGGATTGCAGGGTGGAGTTTCCGCGCAAAGGCAAGATGGAACGTTGGATGCGTCAAATTCGTGCGCGGGGAGTGGTGTTCACACTCGCCCACTTCACTGACCCAACCCGTGCCGACGCCCCTGTAACGAGTTTGAGTGCCCTGAAGGACCAGGTTCTTGAAGCGCACATGAGCAATGTTGCCGCCGGTCTATACCAAAGCCTATACCACAGAAAAAACAGGGGGATCAGCCAATGTCCCAATGTCCTTTGGGGAGAACAAGCAACATTGCCCCTTGCCCCGACGTGTTTCTGCAAATGACAAGGGGAATCCCATCTCGAACTGGCCGCGATTCGGTGTGATTGTTTGATTCGAAGTGGCTGCTGCAGAGAGTGTTGATTGTTCAGAACCCTCCAGGAGCTTTTGGGGCCTATGCCCCGTTTCCCCATTGTACTCAGCTTTCGCATGGACATGTCCGACCGGTACAAAGTGAAGAAAGCTCAGTTGGTGGCTGCACGCGACCAAAAGTTCCTGGAGTCCTTGTTGCAAGGCGGGCCCAAAGTGCTGGGCGGAAAATGAAGCAAACAACTGTTTAGGACATTGACATTTGAACGTTTGATGGGACCTAAGGGCTCTACGACCTGAGGCAGCCCTGCCCCGCGCCAGACCATCTCTGAGAAGACGGCGCCTGCCCAGCTGCAGGCGCTGCGTGCTGCCGCCGAGGCTCGGCTCACTGAGCGCCCTGGCTTGGGAACGGCCCCCCGCGGGACGAAGCGGATCGTCGGGTCCGTCGAGCGGGTTAAGCAGCAGGCCCTGGCGGCGCAGCAGAAGAAGAGCGCCAAGCAAAGCCTCGAGCAGGTGAAGAGCATCAAGGAGCAGTTCAAGAACCTCTCAAGTGCCCTGAAAGCCAAGGAGGTCGCGACCTTGCTCAAGCGCCTGCGGCGCTGGTGGGAGGAGGACAGCAAAGACGCCTTCTTTGAGGCTGCGAAGCTGTGTACGAAGGCCTGCCCGGAGCTGGATGAGAGCCTCCCCCAAGAGAAGTCCCGGCGTAAGCGCAGCTTCCAGATGCTGCAAGAGGTTCTGAGGGCTTGCGGGGGCCCGGAGACCTTGCAGGGCACCGAACTCTTGGAGAAGTTGCAGAAGTTGGCGCAGAAGCATTTGAAGATGCCGGCTTTGGCCGTGGCCTTGGGGGCCTCCCCGAAGGCCCAATCCAAGCGCACCCCGGCTTCCATCTCCGGGGTCGATCCGGAGGCTTGCGCTTTCCGGTTCCAGCTGCGTGCTTGCCCGGAGCACCTGGCCAGGCCGGTGGGCGCTGCAGACTCCCGAGTGCAGGCAGGGTCCCAGGGTGCAACTGCCTGCCGGTTGTTGCAGCCTTTTCAATCAGCCTCAACGAATTCCTATTATATAATGGAATTTCAGCTCGTGAATGGGGTTCACCTTGGAACGGCAAAACATGATTGCCACCCTGCAGGGCTTCAAGCCGGACCTGTGGCAGTCGACCCTGCTGGACGTGGTGGATGCGAACCAGTCCGCCCTGGTGCAAGCGCCCACGGCCTCGGGCAAAACCTTCATCGGCTTCTACGCCATGGAAAGGGTTTTGAGGCAAGGCGACGAGGGCGTTCTGGTCTACGTGTGCCCCACCAAGGCGCTGGCCAACCAGGTGCACGCGGAGATCCAGGCTCGGTTCAGCAAGACCTACAAGGATGGCCGACCCTTTTGCGGAATCTTCACACGAGACAGCCGCAGCGAGCGCTGCCAGGAGTGTCAGATCTTGGTGACGGTGCCTCAGTGCTTGATCATCTACATGCTCAGCCCCACAGCCAAGGGCCACGGGTGGTTGGAGCGCTTGCAGTACGCCATTGTTGACGAGGTGCATTGTCTTGGCGGTGAGGATGGCAGCGTATGGGAGCAGGTGCTGTCCTTGTTGCCCTGTCCAGTGCTGGCC